AATGATATAATATCATTAGATTCAAATTTAATTCCATCCATTACAGTAACCCACTTGTAACCTACTGTACAGCAGGGCGACATACACGACTTACCCGCTTTTTATATATTTTTTCTTTCCTAATGATAACATATTTTTTAAATACATACCAAATAGGTACATAATAATGTAATAATATGCTAATCAATGTATCATGCACCTCCACATAGCCAAATAAAATTCTGTTTTAATTATAATGTATATACGTATGTTTTTGTATTATTCGACCTTTAGTCTTATTAACTCATTCAATTAATAGATTTAAATAMTATGGTAGGCTGGTCCCAAAGTGAGTCCAATAAGTGGTGATTACTTCAATATATTATTTTGTTATATAATTTTACACAGCGCTACTTCGAATAATCCGAAAACCATTTTACAAAAAGTCCCCTACATTGTGTAAATTACAAAAAAAACACACTCACAAAATTTAAAATAATGGTTTCCGTTTCACGAAACAAATAAAAAGTGTGTCCACAGTCCATTTTATGAATCAAAAAACGACTTCCACTTATACGTTATAAGTTCGATTAGACTCAGCTAGTTCGACAGTTTATATTATTACTATTTTCTTGCTACACAATTATTATAACAGTTAGGTATCGAAAATAAATAAATCCTCTTAAAATGTAATTTGACCGTTGGATATTTTTATTGTGTAATGTTTAATGAGAATGCATCATAAATATATATTCAATAATGAAAACAAGGTTATCTATAAACCAAAAAAAACCATTTTGATTATTTATTAGAAAAATAAATTATAAAAAGCTGTACCTACCGATTGTTAATTCAAYCATATTTTTATTGTATGTAATGTTTTATTTTGTTTATTTTATGTTTTATATGAAAATGTAATATTATARACTAAAGTGTAACTGGTTTTTAATTTTAAATAGGTACAGTGTATATTATGTTATCGTAACTCATTTATCCTGATCACAAACTTTGCTTATATATGCAATTTAATCTAAAAATAATAAATGAAAATGTAATTAGATATGTGGTATTGTAGCTTAAGAATAAAATAAAATAATCAATGACTATATTATTATTTAAAAAAAAAAAAAACTAAAAGCTTTGAATTTATTCTATTCCTGTAGATTTTTGGGATTGTTTCCAAATACATACACATTCACAAAACTATTAGCTGAGCAAATAATCAGCGAGAAATCAGCCAGGTCGAATCATGAAAACAGCAATAATATGCCAATGGTCATATTCAGACCGTCGATAGGCAAGTATTTACTATATTATTATAAGTTAGGGTCTAAATTTGGAATTATTCTCTTGAAATATTTGAAAATTCAAAATTACACTTTTCTTGAAATTATATATTTCAATGAAAACATGAAAAATATTTATTTTTCCCCCTTTAAACGTATTTGATTATAGATAATTAGAAAATATGATTATTGATTGTACACAGAATAAGCTGAATAAATAAAATAATAAACTACATATCAACCAAAGCTTAAGGATTACCTAGGTACCTACTATAAATTAGGAGCCAAYCTTTATAAATTGTAGGTATAACTCAATAAGTTCTCCTCTCTAGTCTAAATATATAAAACGCATTCAACCAAACTAATTTTTTGAATTTTTTTTTGTTATGTTAAAGTAAAATTACCAAATATTAATCCTTATAAAAAGTTGTAGAGAATAAAACAGACACATATTCACACACTATTGAGGGGTATAAATCATAGATAATAATAATATAAGATAGTATAGTTCACTTCTATATTGTTAACAAAATAAGGAGGCGTCAACCGATTGAAAGGTAGGGTCACTTTCTCTGATAAGGTGTTTTATCAATAATTAAGCTTGATAGATATACATGATTGGTCAGACCTCTTTGAAACCTGAAAATATTATCAAAATGTTCATTCTCGTATGATAAATTCTGGTGACCTTATATTATCTGTGGTATAAATAAACCTAACTTGTATATTCTTTCTTCTTGTAATAATTTCGGCCTTCGAACCACTTTATCTCTGCTATCAGCCTCTTTTTTTTTTAATCTGTGGTATACAGACATTAAACAATATGATCCATAGTAATATACTGTGGTCTAGAATTAATGCATTCAATTTAATGCATTCATGAGCAAATTTCGTTTGTACACTAGATATTAATTGCGACCGAGAATTCATTCATTTTTCTAATTAAAGTAATAATACATTTAAATTAAATGTAATAATGCATTCTCTGACTAAAAACATTTAATACATATTTAATATATTTTTATGTCAAAAAACTATTATTAAATCTATATATTAAATTAATAAACTATATTTATATATATTTATATATATTATATAGTATACAATACACAATCATTATCAATATTATAGCGTTCGTGAGTGGTACTATAGTTGAGTGTTGAATACCTACATAATATGTTTTGTTGGTAATTACATTACATAATATATTACCTTGGTACCTCTAAGTTATAAAAGTAACTTCATTACTATTAAGGTGACTTTTTATTTTCAAAAATATCACTGGAGATTCTTAAGCTTTTAATATATTATAATATAAATTAACAATATGAAATTATATAAAATCTCTATTTAAAAACCAAAGTAGTTTATAGTATTTTTAACATGTTTATATTYTTTACTTTAAATAACAATTCATTTTAAAAATTACATCTGATTAACAATACAACTTTTTTTTAAGTATTACAAAAATGATACCATCAAAAAATATTCTGTCGTGTTTATATCCAATTTTAATAGGCACCTACCCTTATGCCAACACGTTACACGTATCATCAACTAGTTCTTAGAATGTATTAAATATATATAATATAGTAAAGAGAAATTTTGCCACAAAGTGCAACACGAATTTCGTTTAAATCACTTACACAGTAAAATTTAATTTATTTAGCAAATTAAACCTCGAATTTCTTAGAAATAAATTGTGCACAGTAATTTTTAAGTGTATCTAATGMCATGTGAAATACAGCTCATAAAGTGATAACTGATAACACTTTTAACTGCAGAAATCGAGACCGGCTTAGAAATATATCCTACCTAATATTTTTTAACATTAATTAATTGGATTGTCAATAACGACATTTTGAATCAAGTATTTTAAGCATTTAAATTAACTTATAATCGATGGTTATTAATACTAGTATAATCGTGACGATACTCGGTAGGTATTTATTATAAATACAGAAGAAATTGATTTAAAACTATAAACGAGTAGGTCTGTTACATATAAATAAATTAAATTAACGCCAATCTAAACAATGTTGTCGAGCGTATTATATCGTTGTGCACGATTATAATGAGTTTTCATGGAGGAAGTCGAGAGACAAGGACACAATCTATTTTTCAATAGTATTTAAAAACAGACGTTTCGGAACCTGCGTATTATACAATTTGATGATAATTCCATTACATGTTAGACAGTTGATTACGATCAAATGTTATAAACCGTTCGTAACCTGTGCGTATTAAAGTCGCGTGACATTGATTTTTGTTACAAAGAGCCATCAGGTCGAAATGTCTACAGAGAAAGAGTAAACAAATCGTCTGCACAAGGCGGAAATTCGCTCCAGGAAAGTATTATCTTCCGTTTAGTTTGAACCACGAATGCCTTTTGTAATATTATATAGATGCCTAATGCGCGTATCAAAGATGTTTACCGATCTATTACCATCGAAATAACAATGCATTAAAAGAATCACGTCGAACCAGATTCCCTGACCGTGGGCATACAAACATTAAAATATGAGAAGAAAAATATGGAACAAAATAATATCATATAAAATTACGTAAATACTAGGTAATAGTATTTTTTATTTCATCATCATTAAGTGTTTTTGAAGAAACGAAAATTGAGCGGACTGTATTATAATCTTAATTTATAAACAAGTTAGGGAATCCACTCTGCCAGCGTGCTAAATTCCCGGTTTCCAAACATATTTAATACAACTTAGAAATAAACTATAATCCCATACTAATATAAAATTTAAAAAGAATTGATATTTTATCATTCGTAACTGTGTGCTGGTTATACTAACGGACGGACTAAGGGATACATCGGGAATAAAAGGTGTTCTAAACTTTAAAGACTTGAAAAAAAATCGTGTCCAAAAAATGTGAGGTTAGGACTATTTTTCATGTCTTAAGTCTAGTTCTAAGTTATATCCGCGTAAATTGTGAAGCGTATATACTTTACACGAGTGTCATATTTCTGTAAGATAAATATCACGGAACAGGAACGACAATTTTTAACCTTAATAGTTAGTAATGTAATAGCATAATTATAATATATTGTAGATACCTACGAATGTATAAACGATTCTAATTTGATTAAAATTCGGATGTATTAAAGACAGTCCCGTAGCCAAATGTTCAGATGGAGCAAACAAAACTTTAGCGGGGAATTAATGATCGGCATTATATTATATAATAACATAGGCTATAAAATACATATACCTACCTCAAAGCTTTTCTTATATTTTTAGAAGGGGCATGAATGTATTTAAGGAAGGCAAAGTCCCATCTTGCCCGTAGCTACGACCGGCCTGATTAAAGATGTCTGCCGATGATTTGTAACCGGCGAAATAATAATAATAATAATATGTCAAACCAGATTTCCGACTATGGAGATAAAAACAAAAACAAAAGTGAAATGAGAAGAAAAAAATGAAACAAAATAATATCGTGTAAAATTACGTTAATTTTCATCGTATTTTTTAATATACAGGGTGATTCTTTTATCAAACAACACTCATTATTTCAAAAA